CAGGCCATCTGGGCCATCTCCAAAGATGGAATAATGGAGCATCAGTATCAGGCTCAGGAGAGACATTCTCAGCAGCCGCCTTAAGTAGTGAGCGTGATGATGAGATGATCGTTTTCAGGTGTCAGAGCCAGGGGCTGGAGTCGCCATGACTCCGCCCCGGTAGAGCGGAGAGCACGGGAGGAGAGAGAGGGCTGCAACACAACAAAAACACTTGTGGCCATACTGAGTCAGAAGGCACAGGGACCATGACAGTCAGTCTCTCTAAAAGTATATTAGTAGGATTTAGTGATTGCATCAAATAAACAGTAAATTAATCATAATTTCTGAGCAAAAGCTTGTTGTTTGTTAAGTTTCTAGTAGTAAAAGTTCTCCTAGAGCACTTTTCATCATCAATCAGGGTTACATTACAGTTTTAAATAGGCGTGTTTATCGATTTCTGCTCATCTCCAGCCACAGACAAGTCTCATATATAAGCTAAATTCTCCCTTCTGACCACAACTTAAAGAAAGACCAGAAATAACATTAAATATTACCATCATGTTTACAGTATTGTAATGCTTCTCAGGTTAATACAGCACTATTTTTTCAATATTACATGTATCAAAATGCTGTTATTAAGTATGGAACAAAATTAACACAAAGATATTTATTTCTTTTACCTTAAAAAGTATTATGCCATTTATAATATGTATCGTAGTCATGATGTTTTCTCCACAGAGAAATTCTGAAGGCCTAGGAACATTTTGTTGAACCTGAAAGTTATTTGTTTTTTTAAGTGCATGCATTTCTGGGTGTGAAGAGAATTTTTTTAATTATATGTGTAAACTGAAATAAAATAAAATATGGACATTTTCCAGGATGAGTGCTGGTCCAGTTTTATCTTGGGATAATAAATCTCATTAGGGCCTCAGAATTCCTTCCAGCAAAACACAAATTCCCTTCACTTTGCAATGTCCTGTAGTCATCATAAAATCCCCATTCACAATCCATCAAAGCAACATATATGGCTGCTATGCATCCACCAATAATTTTCCCAGTATGAACTAGAATAAAAACATATCCTACACAATATAAACTAAAAATGAAACATGCACTAGCACAGCTATTACATGATTTTATATGTAAAGGCAGCTTCAATCTTTAAATATATCAATATATCAGAGACAGAAGGATGTCTTTGTGTTATTTGTAAATGTAAATGATGTGGTTTTCAACCACACAAGGAAAGGATTTATTTGGGTTTTCTCCGTATTACTGTAGGGTCTTATATGTATAAATGTATACAATACAATGCAATGTCAGATGAATAACAACCTATAACATTATTTGATTAACAAAATTATCTCAAATGCAAAAGCACTGAGAAAAATTAAGTATACCCTGTGATTCATTAGCATGTAGAATCACCTTTAGAAGCAATAACTTCTTTGTATGACTTTGTCTGTCTTTTACATTCAAAAGGTTATGAGCACAGTGTTTCACTTAAAAAATAGAAATTCCCATGGACCTCATCCATGATCGAATCTTCACTCTAATCAAAATACAAGAGAACGCCATGTATTTGAGTGAAATTTTTATTGAAAACAATATTAAAAATACAGCCTGTTGGATATAAATTACAAATGCTACCCATATGAAAAATGGTATGTGTGACTCAGAAGACACTGGGGGATAAATAATACAAAAGCAGTAAATTTAGGTCAAAGTAATGAGTAGTATCACAAACTAGCCATCTCTTATTACCATCTTCACTTACATTTTTGATTTTTAAATAAACTAATTTAGATATATAGATAACTGTACAGACTTGTTCGTGCTTTCAGTCTCTTTGCAGTACCTTCAAGCCCACCAGGGGGACATAGCCCACACTTTTGAAATTAAAGCGGTAATCTGATGATTTGTTGTCTGGGATGAGGCCGAATAACTAGACTAAATCATACTAACATTAAAATAGTTTAACATATAACACACTATATGCAGTGTTGGGGAGTAACGGAATACATGTACCGCCGTTACGTATTTAAAATACAAAATATGAGTAACTGTATTCCGTTACAGTTACCGTTTAAAAAGGTGGTATTCAGAATACAGTTACGTTGTTGAAATAAATGGATTACACTGCGGTACTTTCCTGTTTCATATTGTGGCGGGTCAGGACTGTTTGGGTTTTGTTTGACAGCTACGTTCTGTTGTTCCAGGCGGCAGCGTTACGGTTGCCATGGTTACAGGGCGACGCTCTCTCTCTCTCTCTGCGACTGTGTGTTTCCTGGGTGAGAGAGCGCCTTTTTGTTGTTGTTGTGCTAAGCTAACAGGCAGAATGCTACAAGCATAGCTCTAAAGAATGTAGCCTCATGGGCAGTGTAGTCCGTGTTGCAGGGAGAATGGACTGCCATACACGTTATGGGTCTGTGAGCGCAAGGAGGGAGAAAAAGGGGAGTGGAAAGGTACGAGCTGTCGTCGAGGAAAAACGGGAGCTGGAAGCATGTAAATATAATAATAACCACTGCAGCCAAGAAGAGTGCCTGACGAGCCCAGCTGTAAGTAAGCTATTAAGACTCGACTGTACACCGTGTTCGTGTTTTCCTCCGAAAACAATAAGTTCGGTTGGAGCAGCCTTTCAACGCCTCTCTCTGTCTCTGGCAAGAAAAGTTGACCCACACAACAAAGTAAAGCTATTTTTCGGCTACGACCCGTATTAGTCAGAGGTCCCTTTACTACAGTTCGGAGTCGCGGACCTTCAGTAATAGTAATAAATCACACAGCAATAGTACATTCACGTTGTTGTAAAAAGCATGATAATATATTAAGTAATCCAAAGTATTCAGAATACGTTACTGTCATTGAGTAACGTAACGGAATAAGTTACAGAATACATTTTGGGGCATGTATTCTGTATTCTGTAATGGAATACATTTTAAAAGTAACCTTCCCGACACTGACTATATGTCACATAAATAGATGCAACATAGTAACATACACTAAAATAAGAGGTGTACCATAACTCTTATTGGGCCCGCCTTATTTTTCATGATTAAAAACACTAAAGTATAATATATGTTTGTTTTTTGTTTGTTTGTTTTATAAAATTTAAAAAATTATTCCTGAATTGCAACTAACAATGTTTTGATTTTATTTGCAAACAAAACGTTTTGAGATGGAAAAAGATGAACTAAATCTAATGAACTAATCAACTATGTGGTCAAAAGCCACTGAGCTATCTATTGTTGAGTTCGAAGAGTTTTCTTCTTCTTCGGCCATGTTCTCTTAATAATGCACACACTTGGTGGTTAATTACTTTTCCCGTTTCTTTTATTGTTAACAACACAGGAAGGAAAACCATACATTACTTCAGCAGTTCCCGCTTCGGAACAACAGGAACAGGAAGTGAAGTAATCTATAATCACCAAAATAAAATCCTTTTCAAAATAAAATGACAATCAGAAAACGTCTTTCGCAACATAAAATAAATTTATATATTCACTCATGAGAACACAAATCTAACAGCTATAATTGATCATTAATGTAATATCCAGATAATTTTAATTTTTATTTCAAATATTTGTTGTTTTTTTCTCACAAAGCTGATTTTTGGTTGCAGTCTAGGCTTGGAAGTAGCAGTACTGAGGCTCCTGCAGGACATTGGTAGACAGAGGCTATGCTTCACCACAATGACAAAATTAAAAATTAATAAATAAAGACACAAATGCAAAGATTTTAAGTAATAATTTCTGGTATTTTTCAAAATGTAAAAAAGAAAACCACCTCATGGTGGCACTAGAGGTAAAACATTACCAAGTTCAAAATGGTTAGTCATGAGGATTTAAACAGTCATCCATGTTACTTAAATTATCCTTATATGAGACATAATAGACATAAGATGGTTAAACATGTTTACTAAAAGGCCAAAGTCCCTTGTTTTTGTTTATATAACTAGATAGCACGTAGAATCATTTATCTATCCATGAGGAATGTAAACAGAACATCTCATACTATGCAAATAATACAAACAACCTCTGTTCCAAAAAGTGAGAAATATGACAAATGTAAATAAAAATGAATACAATGATTTGCAGTTGTCAAAAGCCAATATTTTATTGATACTACAAAACAGATAATGTATCAAATGTTTAAACTGAAAAAAAAAATATGAGAGCTTTTTGAATTTTATGGCAGCAAAAAGTGTCCATAAAAATCTGACATCCGAGGAGACCAACTGCTGCACTTTTGTGGGAGAAATGCTGTCCGATTCTTGTCGTTGTCATGTTTTTTTTCATGATCCTCCAAATGTTTTCAATTAGTGAAAGGCCTGGACTGCAGGCAGGCCAGTTCAGTCTTTTCTACTGCCAAGCCATGCTGTTGTAATACACGCCGTATGCTATTTAGCATTCTCCTGCTGAAATATGCGAAGCTTTCTCTGAAAGACATTCTCAGTTTTAGAGCATATGTTGCTCTAAAACCTCTATCGTTCATTGTTAATGTTACTAATAGCTAAAGAACGTAATCCACTTTACCTCAGTCCATTTTAAATTAGCATTGCCCCAGAAAGGATGGCAGCATTTATGGGTCATGGATTGGATATGGCTTCCTCTTTGCTTTAACATGCATTTGTAAATGCCCCAGTGACCCATGTTCTTAAATACTGATTTCCAGAAGTGCTCCTGAGCCCAATTATTCCTACGTTTTCAATGATCTAGTGTGAATAAAATATAGGATATTGTGTTTTTCAGATAATTGCATTTGGTTTTTATTTACATTTTACACACCCTCCCAATTTATTTGCAGCTGGGGTTGTATAATAACTGAAAGGTGCCAGATAAAACATGTGAAAACTGACCAGTGAACCAAATTAGAAGAAGCTGACCTTCAGGTATATGAATATATGGGGACTCAAAGGAAGCGATAGCCAACAAAAACATTAGTACAGTGTATTTCTGTGTAGTCTCTGTGTAGTTTCATATTAAAACACAATTTTGGCTTTGTACAGATGTAATTTGCCTGGTTTGTAACACTGGTATGAATATCTTAAAGCACTAATCACCGTTAAGTTTATCTTAGTGTATTTTATTTTAACATCAATGACAGCATAGATTTTATGTTGGCTTAAAATTGAATGTTTTAAAATAAAATGTTACAAATATCAATTTTTTGCTCAATTCATAATATTATCCTAAACATGTACAAATAAGCTCCCCTAAATAGTTTTAAATTCAACTTCATTTGTGGTAGTGAAAGTTAGTGTCTGATATATCATTCTTGTCGAAGGAAAACAGGGGGTCCCAAGTACTGAGAAAATGCAGTGGGAAAGCTTTAAAAGCAAACATCACACACCTTTGATATACTTTATTATTATTTATTTAGAGCAAAGCAGTACCATATAAGCACATGTCACATCTAATAAAGCTCAATAACTGAATACAGAAAAAGATGCTTTAAAAAGTAATCACAATAACACATTTTTTTGCTATATGATGTTACGTTTTTGTTTTTGGGTTGTTGTTTTTATATTTTGCCTTTTTACAGTGATTGGGATAAGTATTTTGGGGATTGAACCTTATTCTAATGTCATTTAAGAGCGATCTACTTCAGTGGTGCAAATATTGTGACATGATCCATCACGCATTCGACGTATTAGTATTTCCCATTACCACTGATTATGGAATCGATCCATACTTTGTAGGTGGGTATCTTAGTATACCTATGGATTGATGAAGCACTGGGAGTTGGGCTACTGCTGGTGGACACCACCCCATATGCCTTTCCATCTCCACAGACTAATGGACCACCAGAGTCTCCCTGAAAAGCATTAATACATGTGCAAAAAAATGATCGTTTCTGACTAAAAGTTTAATTTTTTCATGTTAAGTTACAAAAAAGTACTTACATTGCCTGGTCCAGTCTTGCCCTTAGAGCAGTAAAACTTTTCCTTAGCACACCTCTCATCATCAGTCAGGGTTACATTAACTTCCAGGAGTTTCACAGACATATGGCTTCCTTCTTTTGTTCTTCCCCAGCCAGAGACGACACATGATTGTGGCAGAGAGCCATCACCACAGTCTGCGAGAGCAATGGACTTCACTTTATCGTTAAATTCTGCCTTGGACTTCAACTTAAGGAAAGAGCAGAGATTAAAAAATGGTTTATTAGATATTAGAATTATAGCATTTTGATGCTTATCTAAATTAAATATATTAAATGATAAATCATTACAGTAATTAACCATTATTACTTATGGCATGTTATTAAGCACAAATAAAGTCATTTGCTTCTCCTACCTTAAGGACCATTATATCGTTTTCAAAAGTATTTGCATCGTAGTCATCATGAGGAAAGGCTTGCTCCACATGCAGGTGTTGTACACCATTCATATCATGGTAATTGTGAAGACCCAGGAATATTTTGTACGTTCTGAAATACAATAAGAGCAAAACTGT